GGAGAGGGGGGCTGTAGTTTTCAGGGTGACAGACATGACCTACACGACTCCTAAGGTTCGTAACAGTTGTAAATTTGCTTTTTTATTGATTTCAGTCTTCCTCCCTTTTCTGCGCTTTAAAACATGATCCAGGAAATGTTTGTCAACAGAGTTTGTGATCTTTTGCCAGTTTGACTTATTGTAGCTTTTCGTGGTTCTTTTCCATTGCAAGATGCTTTACGATAGTTCATCTCTATCTAAGCTAAGCGTTCCGCTCTGGAAGGATTTATAAATTTTATGACTGTACATGATAAACAGCAAAATTGATTCAGTTGAACCTACCTTCTGGTAGTTTCGTGGCTACCTTCTTCAACCGTAAAGAATGCTGAGGTTAACATCAAGTTTAGCGTATAAATGTATTGGAAAAGAACTCGGCAGACGGCAAATCTTTGAGCGCGGTTTTTTTTTTTTTTACTGATTTAAAAACTGCGTGATCGTGGCTATGACGCCATATCACATTTCTCATCAACGTCAGTAGCGTTCGTGCTCTGAAAGAAATCTGTCAAAATTGACCAATCAGAGGTTAGCATTCGTTAAGTTTGCCAACAGAGTTGCCCACAGAGTCGCCCACAGGAGTCCACAGGCGTTCGTTCACTTCTCGAACCAAGCCCCTCTCTCCTTTTTTCGCTCCGCCGTTTACTCGCGCTGCGCCTCGACTAAGTCAAGTAACTGGAAGAGGATAGACACAAACAGCAGTGATAAACATAATACACCAACACATATTTAGACTTAACTTGACGTTTCATGTACTACAACTTAACATACATTCCCCAGCATACAAAACGTCAGGTTTAGTATAAAAGTGCGTTGGTGTGCAATGTTTATCAACGCTCTTTGTGCTATGTCCTAACTTTATTCCAGTCCTCTCGACCGAGGAGGGTTTGAGAGAGGACATCGATGCTTGACCGTTTTGGGAGGTGATCTACCCGAGTCACTCTTATTAGCGAGAAAAGGTGGAGACCCATGATTTAATCGACACAGGAGCTCCTGATTCAACGCTGGTTTCCTTCCCGATAACAGCTATTGGTTGATTTCTTACTAAAACAGGTCGAATAGAGCAACGACTTTTATTTGTTGGAAAGGGTACCGAGGCCCTCACAGCTTAGAGGGACGGGCGGCCCTGGAGACCAGAATGGTCTCACATGCATGAACCAACATGGCCGCCAGGTCTGCGTGGAAAATTTTACAGCGTAGCGTACGATCAACCGATGAGACTACTACTCACTTTAGACAGTGCATTTTTCAAAGGTTAAGGTGCTGTTCTTCGAATCCAGGATCACAGGGAAAAATTCCAGAGACTGAAAGCGAGGAGTCCAGAGAGAGACCTCGTACATACTCTCGACTAGTACGTTCGGGCATTCGTAACTTCTGTAAGACGTCTGGCAAACCAAATGAAATACCAGAGCTATTTAATCAATTTCTTCGCCTTCCTGAACAGTACAAGATAGCGTCTGTAGACAGTGCGTTATACTGGTTGTCATATTATGACAGGAATGAGGCAGCGTTTGCGCTGAAAAATCTCATGGAAGAACATGGTATTCCTAAGAGCTACTCAACATATTCTGTTCTGGCCAAATTGTACTCCAGGTCGAATCACATGGCAAATTATAAAACCATGTTCGATGAGATGATTAAGGACGGTTTAACTCCTACAGCTCGCCACTATGTACCTTTTGTGGAAGCATTTACCCAGAGAGGCGATCTCATGGGAGCGTTCTCGTGTCTGGAAGAAATGCAGCGGTCTGGGGTTGTTCGTGAGAGAAACATTGATGTACATACCGCGCTAGTTCGAGCTTGCACAGGCCAAGATAGTCAGCAGTTACAAGACAAAGTGTTGGAGATTTTTCGTGAATTTCGAGCTTATCGGGACCCATTAACTAACGACACTCTGGAAGCAATTAAGACGTGGTTTGACAGGTACATGTAAGCTGGAACAATGGCTGCACTCAAGAAAAGATGAAGGGTGAAAGAGTTTTAATCCCTCATATAGGCCTCTTTCTCAAGCTCATTCCTCTTAAGATATCTTTAGATCACTCATGGCTTCAGAAATTCCACGAGGGTCTAGCCAATTGTGTGACTCAAATTAGACATGGACAGCCCAATTTTGTTTACACGCTTTTCCTGCAAGAAAATATCTACCACATCTTCATGTGGCAAGGTTATCCTGGGGATACCATGTCTAAAAATAGCTTGAGAGGCATTACCTTTAGAAAAAGGCCTATATGAGAGATTACCTCTTTTACCCTGCATCTTTCAACTGAACTAGAATATGGTAATTAAAAGAAAGTTCATTCATTCAAGCCTACCCTCATTCCTTCATTTTGTCCATCTGTCAGTCTGTCAGTCAGTCCATCACTCAGTCAGTTCATCCATCTGTCCATCCATCCATCTGTCTGTCCATTATTCATTTGTTCGTTCGTTCATTCAGACAACTTTCATATATAAGTTAATGATTAAGTGGCTAATAGACTGAATGACTGGCTGCTTGACCTTTCTAATTGTTAACATAAATAAATAAATAAATAAATAAATAAATAAATAAATAAATAAATAAATAAAAAGAAACAATTTAATGACAAACAGTTACTTAGCACCAAGAGCAAGAATTAGTTAATAGGGATATAAAAAGAATAACTGTTAAAAATGAAATAAAAACTAAGGTGGTTTGGGTTAAAAAGATGTCATTGATTCTGACTGAAATATAAATGACTGTCTGAGTGACCCACCGACTGAATTACTGACTGACTGAGTGACTAACCAACTTACCTACCACTGACCATTGTTTAGTATGTATTTTTGAGAAATTTTCTTGGGCAATAATAATTATTAGTTCCTCCTAATTTATATACAGAACACATTTGCTTAAACTAAACTTGTCCTGTTTAATTTGCAGTCAAAGGAGTCCCAGATGGATGACTTCATGGTCCACTCCTTCAGAAATGTAAGCTCTCTTCATTGCCCAACAAACAGCAGTCTTTTTTCAGAACCAAAATCCTCATTTTTTTTATAGTTGACCAATTTTTTATGACACACAAACATGAAAGGGTTGATTTTTGGTTGAGGAAACCAAAATTCAGCCCATTGTAGAAAGTGTGAAATCGCCGAGTATGAAATAGTCAACAAGGCTGTGCTCTAGAAGTGCTTGAATGCCACTGAGGTGACTAACTTTTGACTCTGGGTGGCTGGAACATTCACTTTTTTATATAATCTTAAGTGCTGGGCACTCAGGATTTCATGGTTAGGAACCATTGGGCTCTTCAAAATATTTCTTAGACCACAACCTTGGCCAGTGGTAAATGGCTGAAAAATTCAAAATTTATGCAAATTGAAGAGAAGTGAGCTTGAGAACAGGGAGATTGAATAGCCAAGTTAGAATATTCCTGTTTATAATCCATCAAATATTTTTGCTTTTGTGCGATTGGTCTAAACGCATCATGTGACTCAATATGCCTCAGCTAAAATTGGGGAATGTCCAAGTGACATTCCCCATTTTTCAAAACCATCATGGGTGTGTTGTGAAAAATATTCGAAGGATAATATTAAACACAATAGCCTCCATTTCACACAAAAATATGCTCCGATATTACTTTGTCCTTGGACGTTATCTGTTCCTCAAAACTCGCTGTTTTCCTTGAGCTAAGGTCTTGGAAAACTGTTTGCTTTTCAGAACAGATAATGTCCACTGCCAAATATCTGAGTATATTTGGACACCAAATGGAGGCTATTGTTTACATAATTTTATGTTTGGCGGTGGGGTAGTTTTCACTTGAGCATTAAAAGTAGTTTGCACTTGTTCTGGTTTTAGATTACCATATCTATTTATTAAGCGATTGGCTTAAAAAACTCTCGCCGCTTTCTCAACCAATCAGAAGTGAAACCAAAGTCAATGATGACTCACTCACACTAGTCTTGTTTTCCCACTCTCCACACCAGTTACATGTACATGTATGTATTTGCTCTAAGTTTTCATTGACTCATTGGACTGTCTCTGTCCATTGCGATTGACCAGAGTGATTATTTTGCTTTTGGTTAAATACAACACCCAATCATTGGAAAACTCCTCTATTGTGTAGCTGCAAAGTTCTCCTGGTAAAACCTTGTTCCCAAGGTCTGTGTTCTACCTCCTCCCTGGAGCAAGCTAGGGCTTACTGGAAGTTTTGGCCCATTTGTCTGTACACAGGTTCAGCTTGTGTCACCTGATCATAGTACATGAAGGTGTAGGCTGGTGTAGTACATGTGGTACCTGTACACTGTAGTACCTGAACATGTAGGTGGCACAGGCAAGTGAGTCATCAGGTAGAGTTAGCAACGTTGTCTGAAGCTTTGGTGATATCTGTAAGTCTTAACTAGCATATCTTGCACTAATGTTAAATTTACATGGTTTCCTTGTAAAACACTAGATTTCACTGCCAAGCCTGTGAACAGAAACTAGAGACTGGTGAATATTCTGAAGAAGAACTGCAAGAGCTAAAATACCCTCTTGTGTCACATCTGTGGGAACATCGCAAAGAACCATCGCAAGTGCGGGTTTTCACAAATAGTGGAAATTATGTGGATAACATAATTTCAGGGTATCATAAATTTCCTGAAAGCATAGTTCAGTTTATTAGGACATCAGGACGATATGATGTTGTTTTGGATTCTCTCAACATTGGATTTTTTGGTGGTTATAAATTTGATCCTGAAAAGGTAAACATTTATTGCACTACTAGTTTAGAGGACAAGTAACTAAAATCAACCAACCAGATTGCTCTATCACTCTATCTCAGATTGCTCTTTCAGTGTATGTATTGGACTGGGTACTGTCCCAGATGATCATGAGGGGTTTCCTTGTAGTTTTACTGCTTCTTTTTGTAAAATAATTAACTTGTGCACATAAAAGATTAAATTTATTTTATTGTAGCTTTCTCTTCCTTTTTATCGGTACAAAATCAGACATGAGTAAGTTGTGTCTCATTGAAGATTGTTGGGTAAAGTTTATGATCATGTCTTTTTAGTCCATTATCATATTATTTTTCTAAACATATTCAGTCACAAAATAAATTGTTTTTTAACCATGCTTGTCCAGTACTGTACTAGGAGAAATGTATGGACCTTACCATCAACAAACAAAAAAAGTCTACCATTGAAGAAACAAAATTTTGTTCAGATCCTTGCTACATACATGTATTTGATTTTCACACAAAAGAAGAACAAACCTTGTGAAATTGTCGGTAGAGATACTGTGAAATACTTCATTTGAAAAACAAATTGCGACCATTTTGTTCACAAGCGTTCCGTTATAGTTGAGATGATTCCGTGTTTTACATAACATGGCATTTTAATGTTACAAAGTGTTTTTAAACTTTTTTTTTCATTGTTATTTTCTAGGTGAAAAAGGTGGCTCATTATTTTCTGAAACAAAACAAGAAAGTCTTGGCTGTGGGCTCTGGGCCCTTTAAATTTCCTAAAAGATATAGACCAGGTGCACAAACAAGATTTGGTAAAGCTCTAGACTTTCTCATGGAACACTGTGGTGTGTTTTTACTGTACCAAAGGTAATTTTTCAAAATTGTATCACACAGTCTTGGAATTTGTTGGTTGATGATAAATCATTCTTGTAGTTGCCTGAGATGTGTATTTCTCATTGTGCCCACATGTAAGTTGTCATAAGATTAGGAGCTTGAGATTTCTATGAGGTGAGATATGTTAATATAGTTGATGAAACTGAACGTGGAATCAACTATATCTCATAGAAAGCAAGAGCAAATAATCTATTGTAATTGTTTTAGTAGAATACTGACTGAATTTACTGGAGTGAGTGATTTCCTGTTAAGTTTCAGCATAATATTATTAGTGCTTCACAGGGCTCAACTTTCAGGAAAAACCTTGGTGCCAGCTGGCCCCTTAGTTTTCAGATTTAGTTGCCAGCAAACAAAGTATTTCAGTGAACAGTGTGAAAAGTTAGTTGCTAGTGAAAAAAATTTGTCGCATTGGGAACCCCAACAGTCGCAATGTCAAGCTCTGCGTCATTAAGTACATACTTTAATAGTGACACTGACCACATGCAGATTGAATTGTCATTTGAAACTAACAGCAGTGTAAGCGTGCTCATCAGATCAGTTCATTAAATTTTACATTTTAGCTTTTAAAGTCACTTAACAGTAAATGTCTGTCTTCTCCAGAATAGATTATTCATCAATATTAATAAATATCCCCTACCCCATGCTTATCTAATGCCTGGTAGTGTATGATAGCTCAGCCATCAGATGGTAGCATGTGTACTAGTATCCTAGTGAAGTTCTAAAATTTATTTAAAATGGTGGTTATATATTAATAGAAGCTCTCTTTGCTAGTAAACCTCCTGGTCATGGGCCAACTGTCTGGTCTGCTGATGAAAATATATTTTAGTTTTAAACCCCCTTCTCTCTCCCTTTTTCCATGTACTTTTTCATAAAAAAAAAATAGAAAAGGCTATGTAGATGGCAGACTGGAAACTGTTTGATGTAAAAAAAAACAAGAACCATTTTTGTTACTCTTTTTTATCAGGCCCAATTTTAAATAATATTTTATTTTAAAATATTTCTTCACTACTAATAGGTCCTAATACTGTCAGTGGTTTCATCAAGGCCATGCACCAGGCCTATTGACCAGATGTGAGAAATATTTTGACCATCTGCAGGAAATTTCTCCTTTTTAAGAAGTTCAGTTCAGAAGGTTCTGCCTGCCTATGAAAACCAGTTGTCTTCTAGCTGAAAACCTTAATGAAATCCTTTTATCTTTCACCCCAAAAAAGCAACCACAAAATTACTAACCCAAGAAAAATCCTTAGATTTCAAATTTAAAACCCAACAAAGGGCTTCACACTATGAGGGAATGGACTTCCTTGTAGTCAGAGTAATATTGTTAATTCAGATTTTATTGATAATAAGTACAGTCCCAGAAAATATCGATACTCCCCACACAGAAGGGATTGGAATTTCCTGGGGGTGGGATCTGTAAGACCATAAAATTGAAGAAATCTATGAAGCTTAATTGAAATTTCCAGAGGGGTGGGGGGACCTACACATTTTAAATCTTGCTGTTTCTCCTTTGTATGAGAACACGCAATCATGAACAAGTACTTGATATCACTTGTCTTGATTTATAACAATTTTCTCTTTTATGCAACCACACTAACATTACGTACTTAACTTTCCAGTTCCTATGATGATGTGTACTTCCTCAGTGCTGCCATGCATTGTGGACCTGGTACCATCCTAGTGTCGTCAGACATGTTTGCTGACCACATCCATAGCATGGATTTAGTTATGAGAGCCCAGTTTAAGCGATGGCAACAGCACTACCAGTGGAAGATGGAAGGATTTGATCAGGACAAGCCAATATTTGCAGTATGTACTTGTTTTCATTGCTGTAAGTTGTTTTCTTGGAGGTAATAAAAGGGGATCTCCTGTAGGCAGACGTCAATGTTCTCAGAAGTGCCAACATAGAGATTATACCTGCCAATATTAGCGCCTGCAAGTTGAAAACTTGGATCTGGTACATACTCACACCTGCAGACCAATTCTTTTCATGCCGAGCTGAAGATTTGAGCTTTTCCAGCCTTAATTGACACAAAAAAGAAACTTCAAAGGTGGAGAAAGCAAAGATAGCTAAAAGTTTCAAACCCAATTCCAATCAAATTCTGAAATTTTTATGAACTGCAATTTGTTTCCCTCCTTGTAATCCTGAATTTCCAAACATTTTGCACTGTAGAATCTTTCTGTTCAATTCATTTCTCTGTTTAATAACGTTTGGCAATAATCATAATATGTTATAAAGAGAGAAAATCTCTTACTAGATCATCAGGAACTCTGTTCCTTTGAAAATTGTTTTTTTTCCCATTTTTGTTTCAATTATTTTGGGACATTAGTTCTAACACTGAGTACAATAATTATTAAGCTTTGTTAAGTTGTGAACATTATGCTTTACCACTTTTTCAGAATGTGAAAAATTTTGACACTCCTGCTCACGTTCAAACTACAGGAGACACATGGCACTTTCCATCCAGTGACGGCTTAAGGTGGCTCTGTGCCAGAAAGGCAGGAATAGTCAAGAATCCAAAAGAACTGGTGCATTTTTAATTTGATGGAGGTGCAAGCTACTTGTGTGTTTCTACAAGGAGGCTGCAAAATATTGTCAATAAGTAATTAACCTTTTGCAATTAAAAACACCTTGTTTTAGATTGTTGGGGTGATGAGAGGAATGACTTGTTGACTGGCCTCTTACAGTACTTTCTTGAGTTTGATAATTTGCTTTGATTCTCATGGGATGTAACAGGGGTCTTGAATGACTGAAAAACTATGGAGGGGGGGCAGTGTGATGGGGTAAATGTTTTAATATATAATGATGTTAGAGCAACCTGACAAAACGCCTTGGGGTAAGCCTTATGTGGAGTAGCATTACATTTTGTGTGTAGCAACATAATTAGTCACTTCATAACATGGTGGACTTCAAGATGGGCATTTAATTAACATACCGAAAGTGAAAACAAAGCGAACTTCATCTAGTGCAAACTTGTTAAGAAATACAGCATCTTTATTGATCACTGGAATATACATTAAGAAATCGAAATTTAAAACAGCAACAAATTTATTAATAACACTTTCTGACTACCCTTAAACCTAATAAATAATGATTGAGGAGCTGCTGGCAAGACCAATGGAAGTTAGAGTTTAAATAATATTCAAAGGCTAGTCTAACATATTTACAAATGAGCATTCAATTATGAACTGTATAAAGATTTAATTAGTATCTTATATATTAAAAATATTTTTCCTATGACAATGGTAGGACTTGCCTGCAGACCATCAATTCCATCTGACTTCAATAGTCCTTTAAGCCCTCACTTCAACTTAGAGGATTCCTGTTCGAAGTCCTTAATTTCTTCATCAAGAGAATAATTTTGATGATAATCAAGGCAATTTCTTGAATCGATTCCTTATTCTCACTTATAAGCACAGTCAAGGCCAAACAAGAAACAATAAAACAAGCATTTCCCCTCATACACTGCTAAAGATCTGGTACTCTCATCTTCCAACCCCC